TGGGATACTAAAAATTACCTGGTGTTTTTTCATGTTCATGCTTCAAAGAGGTTTTACCTTAAGACGAAGTGAGGACAAAAAATCTAATAATATACTAGTAAGCATTTGTTTTCATCATATTATGATACCTCATCTATCTCAAAATGACATCATGTCATTTGGAAGTCCTTATCTAGTCTAAGCAAGGATCGAGTGACTTATGAATCTAATCTCTAAGGATGAAAAAGCAATCATAAGAAAGCTTGTTGGACTAAATGGTGTACTTATAACTTATCAACAAAAGCAGAATGCAACTCATGTCATTTCTACTACGGATATGGATGGGGCTTACATCAGAACAATGAAGTATCTCATGGATGTACCAGCTAATAATTCTACGTTCCACTTGTTAGCAAAAGCAAGTAATCAGTAGAAAAAACTATGGGCCACTAAAGCACAATGCCATGCTACTAGATTTGTAACATTAATGCAAGCGGACATAAGGTATTTAGAGATTCCTAATTAAAATTTGGTGCATTTATTAATATTGGTTATTTGCATAGTCGATAATTACAAAAAAAAAAACACTTTAAACTACATGCAAATATTTTAAAATGCCATCATACATGCATTGTAGCATGAATAATAATTCATGAAAAACACCCCCTCTTATGTATTAAAATATGCATTGATGTACATTCGATAATTGGCATGCATTGACAATGTGCAGAGGGTTTCATTCTTGCATGCCAATTGACATTACATTCACAATCCAAAATGGCCTCTTACATGATGTAGAGGGTTTCATTAAAGCATATCATATGACATTGCAATTATACCCCAAAATAACCTCTGGCATATATTTGTATGATGCCAAGGGTTTAATTCCAGCGTGACATTCGACATCACAATTGTATGTCAAAATGACCTCTTGCATGTTTCATTAGGATGTAGAGCTTTCTATTCAAGTATGACATTTGACATTACAATCATAATTTAAAATAACCTCTTGCATACATTGGTAGGATGCATAAGCTTTCATTTAAACATGGCATTAAACATGGAAATTACATTTCAAAGCATCCTCCCGTATGTATTTATAATATGTAGAGAGCTTCAACCTAATAATATCATGCATACATGTAACACTCATATAAATGTATCATGCAAGATGCTTCCAATAGTATATACATGTATGGGCCTTGGCAAGCGTGTTATGGGTACACACATGATGTGTGAGGAGGCTACACAGGTTAACAAATGAATATAAGTCTGAACATGATCTTAGTAAATTAATTGAGTCGATAAGATTCAATCAGTAAAATGAAATTGCTTGTGAAAACCCTCATGATGGCCATATTGAATGTAAATTTTAACCAGAGGGGGTCCATAATTATTTAAAATACCTTTCAAATTCTTATAAAATATAAGTGATTTTAATGATACCCCAATAATGATCGTGTTGAAAGTAAATGTCAACCATAGGGGTTAATTCATAAGAATCTATCAAAGCAATAAATCGATAATGAACTGAATCCTCTGTCATCAAAATAAGACCCATAAAATGAAATAGCCCATAAATTCTCTAATGATGGCCATTTTGAAAGTTGATCTCAGTCCAAAGGGATCATAAATTTTCAAATGCCCTTAAACTTATATAAAATACAAATATTTTCAAATGACCTCAAAGTCACCCCAATGATGGTTGTGTTGAAACAAAATCTTAATCGGAAGGGGCCCAAACATACTTAAATCCCTGAAATGACCATAAAATAAAAAATTCTAAAAATTATACCAAAATTCAAATATTTTAAAGAAATAAACCATCAAACATTCAAGCAAAAATTTATCCACCTTCTGCAATAGTTTGCTATGATGGATAAATTAAAAATCACTTCAGCTCACAAAGAATTAATGTATAGTCGAGAACATCACTTGGATTCCTTCTCAATTTATCTCTTGCCATTTAGGACTTGGCACGTGTCCTCTAACCTATGGTTTCACCGCCAAATGACGACACCACATTATGGATTTTGCCGCTAAATGACACCATAGGTAAACAGTTATAACTGGGACCCTCTAATAGGGTAGTTTTGCAGCTAAATGGTACCATTATATTACGGTTATGATCATAGCCCGTATGTTCTTCAAAGGTGTTAAATTATTGAGTCATGAATTAATATGATATAATTGATAGGGCACAAAGCCCTCTAATAGCTAAGATGGATTCATATTTATTTTCTTATACCAATATTTACCCCATGTCTCTAAGGTACACTTGGACAAGCCAACCCATGGCTACTGACAAGAATCCTTCTGCAAGGTTGTCTGACTATCTCTTCTGACTAAGTAGACTGGGGACCAAGATGGCCTAAGATGATGGAAATGGGATCTTGATCGGGTTCACCATCACTCCCCCCACCATCCACTTTTATTATGAAGTGCTAAAATGTCTATTTTTAAATATTAAATTCTAAAATATCTAAATCATGATGCTACTATATGCCATATATCATATGTCTATTCGATGAATAGCCTTAATCGAATGTTTTCTCTCGTTATCGTGAGAGGGAGACTAGCAGCATGAATAAGTGTACGAGTGGTTTCGATGAGGTAACGATGTTTGCATTCGGCCACGCCATTTTGTTCTGGGTGTATGGATAACTAAATTGATGGATGATACCTTTAGAGGAGAGGAAGGTTTGAAACATAATTGAGGTGTATTCACCACCAAAGTTTGAGTGAAGTAATTTTATGCTTGTGTGAAAAAAATGTTTCAACCATTTTAACAAAGCTAATGAATATATTAAGAACTTCAGATTTGTAACGCATTGGAAATATCCAAGTAAATTGGGAGTAGTCATCGACAAAAAGAACATAGTATTTGAAACCGAAAAAAGATGCGATGGGGGGAAAGCCACAAACGTCGGGATGTATAAGTTCTAGTAATTTGCATTGAGATGAGCTACATTTAAGAAACGAAGGTTTGTGATTCTTAGCCACATTAAAAGAAATACAACTAACTAAAGTAGTAGATAACTTTGGATGAAGTTGCTTGGCAATGGAATTGAGTTTGGAGTGATGAGGATGGTCGAGGTGAGCATGCCAACCCTCTCTCCAATGTCCACCAAACCATCCACACAATATGCCATACCCCAACCCAACTATGTTTCGCCAAATTGTTGGTTCACTTCACTACCTCACCATCACTCGACCCGACATTTCCTTCACTACTAATCTCCAATATCAAGCAGTGCACAAACCACTCAATAAGCATTTTAATAACTCAAATGACTACTATGATAAATCAAAGGTTCCATTACCTTCGGCCTACCCATCAACCATGGTAACCTCACCCTGCACTTGTATGTTGATTTAGATTGGGCCTCAGATTCAGATAATCGCCACTCCATCATGAGATATTACACCTTCTTGGGCAGTAATCTTTTTCATGGAATGTTAAGAAACAACCCACCGTAGCCATATCCTCCAATGTAGTAGAGTATCGAGCACTTGCTTCGGCCTCTTCAGATATAGTATGGCTACGTCGTCTTCTGATGGACTTAAACATCCCTAAAACCTCCCCAACGATACTTCATTGTGACAAAACCTCGGCTCTGGCTCTAGCCAATATCCCTGTCTTCCATGCTCGCACAAAGCATATTGAAATTGATTCACTTCATTCGAGATCGCATTCGCTCTAGCGAAATAACGGTTCACCACATTCGTTCAACCGATAAACCAGCTGATATCCTCACTAAAATGCTCGCGCTGGCAAGCTTTTTACAGCTTCGCTCCAAATTAACGCTCCTCTCACAGGTTTATTAATTTGCAGAGCGGTGGTAAGCACACATGTTAATAAGCAAGCCACATTATCTATACCACTTTTATAACTTTTAATCCTAACCTCTACTCTACAACAAACCAATCAATATCCAACTTCCATCTATAACAAACACCTGTTGTGTGCACATGCACTCATTACATTTTCATATACAAATATGTGAACATTTTCAATACAATTCAACAGTTTTTCCCTGAATCAGTTCTTGTTCTTTTTGTCTGTTCTTTGATATTTTTTTTTCTAATGCAGGAACACAAGCAACCGATTGAAGAGATGCTCCTCACCTCTATCTGTCTTCAAAAACTCTCCTCGACAACCCAGAAAAGAAAGAAAATAAAGAAGACCATGGAGAGACCGGAGAGTAAATTTTTGGATCCCAAAATCTCTTATCACTTTTATCTAAGTGTAATGAATTTTATTATAATGTTAAGATTTTAAACACACTATATCACTGTAAATTTCCTAGCACTTAATAATACTTAATAATTTACATTAAAAATATATAAATACAATAGGAATAACATTTACTTAGAGACGATTCTCAAGGAAGAACGCACATTTGGTGAAGGGTAATTAAAATCAAAATCAAACGACTAATTTGAGAAGTTTCGAGGTGAAGAAGGTAACTTCTAGAAAACCATTGCTATTAAATATATGAATTCACACTAATTTTAAGAATTGAAAGCTTGTATTACATTCCATACATAGTCAAAAGACAATGAGCCCCAATAAATCGGCATCATGTCTTAGACTTCGTTTATGATTTTCTTACTATTTCTTAAAAAAAAAAACTTTTCAGTATAAAAATTTAAAAATTATAATTTTTATACTAAAAATTATTTTAAAATACAGTAATAAAAGCTATATCATACGAAGCTTGAGTCTACCAACTTTTCACATCTCATTTTGACTGATGAAAACTGAACAAATGAACATTAAATACCTAATGCCACTTTTACGAGAAACAATAGCCCAAAACATGTAGATTGACTAGTCAAATTACTGACTTTCTTCAAATATTAAATAATCTCGGACAAAATGTTGCTGACTTACACCGTCCATTTGAAATTACATTCAGAAGGGCAATAAGAAACAGAACATGAAAAACTTCAGGAGGCTTGGAAAACTGTGTAAGCTTTCAGGCTTAAAAGAAGCACATCATCATATGACTTTGCAATTGAAGCCAGAATAGAATTCTCAAATTTCCATTCAATAACTAAGAATTTTATTTACAACTGTTCAGAAAAGCAGTAATTTACAAACTTCTTAAACAACTATATTAGGAGGATTTTAGAATTATGAAAGAGGTTTCTCTCTAGCCAAACTCGATCAAAAAGAGATGGATGGCTTTGTTGCTGTTTGTATTCCACTCTCCACTTATCTACAGATTGCGCTTTCCTTTGTATCTAAAGACTAGAACAAGTAATCATAATAGACCAAGAAAAGCGTGTCTGGAACGTTGAGAGGCAAGCTATCTATAAAGCTATAGAAGTGCTTTACATTCTCTTTCCCTAAAGTTGCTGTATCGATCACATCACAACTGCTTGTTAGCACCCATAGGTCTCTTGAACGAACTCTTTTGAGACTTCCCCTGCAAAATGGGCAGGACTGTGACCTTCTGTTCCTGAAATCAGAAGCTATAAGAATGAATTGAACAAGCTAGACTAATTAACCATTCATCGCAAAACAATTTAATAAGAAAGAAACTCCTTTAAGCTAGATTATTTACCAGTCATGGTAGCAGTTAATACACATTGCATGATTGCAACTAGGAAGAACCATCTTGGTGCAGATTTCCATGCAGATACCACACTCGTCATCCCTCTCCAAATCCTTATCTGAAATCTTCCTCAATTCTTCTGCTCTCTTTCTTCCAACAATCTCCTTGCTTCTAAATCTGTCAAAGGACTCTTCCTTCTCCAACAGGTTGCTTTCAAGTTGTTGAAGAGAAGGATAAATGATACCTAAGATATATACGCATGTAGTTTTCAGACGAAACAAGGAAGCTGGGAAGTTCAAGCAACTCATAATCACGACGAAAGCAAGTGGGGTATAATTTAATATGTACCATAGAATTCTCTAATACTGGCTCTCCGTTCGTAAGCAGATATTGACGATTTTCCATCAACATATACCTGCATAATTTTGATTGAAGTTTTTTAAGTCTGCTAAACTCTGTACTCGATAGAAATCAGCAGAAGCAGAACAATCAAAATAAGAGCAAAGCAGCAAAAATCCACAGAAGAAACATTTTGTATTCTTTGCTGAAATTATGAAAAATAAATTAAAAATGCAAAATTTAATGAATAAAAAGGAAATATAACCTTATATACAAGTATTTGAAGGAGCCCTAGATAATTAGGAAGCACATAAGTCGGGACACAGTCCATCCACTGCAGAAGAAAGACGAAGACCGGAGCTAAAGGACCATAAGACAGTTTCATCTGCAGGCAAGCACCGCCATAAGCTCTCTGAACAGCATGAGCCCTGAAAAACCCATAACCCTAGCAATCAAAACTACCACAAATCCCAAAATTAAAGCACCAAAAAAAGAATTCTGAAGTACTCATTAAAAAATTCATTTTGTTTCGCTTTCTCCAATCTAAAGTTTAGGGATTCATATAATTCAAATGATATGGGAATCAGAAAACCAAAGAAAATCAATACAGTGGGCAGGAGAGGACTTACAAGGAGTTGGCATGCTGGATGTCCGCTTCAAGGGCCTTGAGGGAGCCTTTGAAGGAAGAAGGACGGGAAAACTGCTTCTGGAACATGACTTCTATTATCTTCTTTCTAGGCTGTTAGAGTAGAAGATGAAGAAGTGATAACACTATAAGCCTCAGGGATTAGAAAAGAAGTTTGGAACCTTATGTTCAAATTAATAGCCCAATTTAAAGAATGTCATTGGGACAAAAGATGAGGATGAGGGACGGGAGCATTCAACTAATCAAGAACGGGAAGAAGAAGATCACAAGAGGCAAAAGACGTAGTATTCCACAAATACGAGTGGGTTCCCTTCGACGCGGCAGATGAGGGCTCCCTCTAATGAATTTCAGAGAGAAAGAAAGCGAGAGACCCCGTAATAACTTCGATTCGAACGTTTCCAAGTTTTTGGGTTCGGGTCAATCATATCAGATTGAGTACGGACTACTATATATAGTGGTGTCAATTTCGGGTCACGGTTCGGGTTGAATTCGGAATTAACCCGGGTTCAAACGGATCAATCCTAACCCGACCCGAGTATGTAAACAGATCGGAAACTCGGACCCAGACCCGACCCGTCGGGTTGACCTAACCCGACACAGTTTGGCATATGGCGGCGGTGGGACGGCAGACATCAAGCGTGCGGGACGGCCGGCAGCGGGCGGGCGCGGACGCGTGCAGGCTGTTCGGACGCTGACGCATGCAAGCGGGCGGCTAATCCTAGCGGACACGGGCGCTGATCGAGCGGGCAGTACTGGGGTGCGTGAGCGGGCAGCAGCGGGGCGCGCACGAGCGAGCGACAGCGGACACCAGAAACCCGTATGGTCAACTCGAACCCGATCCGTTTTTCAAACAAATCGAATCCGGGAACCCGAACCCGACCCATTTTGAAATCGGATCGGGTCCAACCCAAATATTTCGGGTCAGGTTCGAGTCGGATTTTCGTGTCATGTCAAGTATTGACACCACTAACCATATAAAATAGTTGAAAGAAGAAGGGAAAATGTAGGAGAAATTATTACATGTAGAATCGAGATATTTTCTGACTATAATGAAATCAAGCAACATGGCTTTCATATAGGATGTGTATATACTCACCCTGTGTATAATTTGCATACATGATGTGTAAAAGCCACATGATTTGAATTTATTGAAGTTCGAACATGCGCTACTCCTAAATTCCGCATGTAATAATTTCTTCAAAATTTAAACTGGTGCAACTTATTTTTGTCTCTTGTAATGAAAACGATCTTTCTCATAACAAATGAAAAAGGGCGAAAATAAATTTACTAGTAATCTTAAAAAAAAAAAAAATGTATCTTGTAATTTGGCATTTTAATTTTTAAAAGTAATATGTATATATAATTAAATTGAAATGAACTTACATTCTCTGTTATTCGAGAGATTATTCTTTGCGGACACCAGAAAGAGATTACCCTCCAAAGGAGAATTAGATGCAGCCACGTCATCGAGTATCGAGGTCGGTACCGAGCAGTACCAAACAGTAGTACCGAGTAGGGATTTATGTGACACATTTTCATTGGACTCTGGACGACGTTCGGCATCCACAGAGAATAATTCATACTTCTTTTATTGACATGTGTTCAAGTGTTACATAGGTTTTTTCTATTACGTAAATTGTCAATCAAGCATTGATCGTAACATATAAATTATCGCTGGGTAAGTTTGACAAAGTAAATTTGATATATATAATTCCAATAAATACACACATAAATATATATATATATGAAATTTTGAAATATCTTTAGTAGATAGCCAAAGGATTTCATTTTTCAAAATTTTCCTTTTGACCCTTATTTATATGTTAGAATTTTGGCTGTTATAGGAAGATAATGATAAATAAAAGCACATAAATAAATTTGAGTACTATAGAGAAAAGGTATTAGTATAAATGTGGACAGCTCACATGTGGACAATCATGGTCAAAGCTTCTAATTTGATGGTTGAAGTTATTGGGGTTATTGACATTTGCCTAATAATTGAGTATGATGAGGACGAATAGCCTTTATTCTTGGGAAAGGGAAAGTTCATTATGAGCATGGAGAGTTCATCATAACCTAAGTGAATTTGCTATCTTCATTTTTTATCCAATGAATTTACTTTACACTTGGTTGACTTTATTTAAACCAAACTCTGATAATATTTGAATGTTGATTTAATTTTTCACTTAGAGATATTATAGTTTCTCACTTAATCTCCACACTAGCTAGTTTTCTCACATGATTCTTGAACTCTAAACTGCTAAGTTCTATTAGTAGGGTTGGATGTCACCTATGGAGAAATTTGGATCAAATAATTTTAACAATCTTAAACTAATCATATACAATAATGTAGGGAGGTTTCCTACCATTTAAATCGTATATTAATTTTGATATATAGGATGCATAGTTCTGGCGAGGGTGGAAATTGAAGAAGCATGGTAAGGAGGAGTGCTCATCATCCTTTTCCTTACTCTGGTGAGGGTGGTTGTAGGAAAGCCTCTTAGCAAGCCAATTTATGAAAGGTTTTGGATGGCATGGATTGCGTTCAGGTTTTATCGGCTGAGTTTATTGATATCTTGGCTGCAATTGTTCATCTGACATATCCGAGTAAGAGTTTAGCTCAGTTGATGACTTTCAGTCATTTCCTTCTAATTTTCAAGCCACTCCTTAACAAGATTTCTGCATGTTCATTATTTTCTAGAGCTATCCATTTACGAATTTAAGTATGAATGCAACCCGAGCTTGCAGACTGCCAACTAGCTTCAGGTGTCTGTTCCCATTGGGGATATCGAGCAAGTTTTGCCTACTCTGAATAACTCTGATGGTCTTCATCTGACGCATGAGTCCTCAGCTAATTCAGGTTGCATCCCTATATAGCATGTTGGTAATCCTAGGTCGAATATTCCTTTGTCTGATGATAATGATTTGACTGATGTTGTGAATGTTTTGGATGGGAGCTTGGCTGATTCTTCTTGCAAGTAATGTTGACAGCACTCTTCATTCTTCATCAATGGAGATGCAGAATCCAGCTATGTATGTGCATATTCAACAATCTAATCCTCCTTCCCAAGGGCTCTTGGGAACTTGGAACATTGTCTATAGAATGCAAAAGCTTAAGAAGAAAGGCAAGCTTCTAGCCAACCCTTCTAAAGGTTATGAAATTATACAGCCCTTGCCAACATATATTATCTCTAACCCATAGTCTATTGTTTTCACTGCTCAAAAATCTTAGCAACGCAATAATTCCATAAACTATCTGAATCTTTCCAAGAATAGACCGAGGGTGTCTAATGGTCACCTTCAGAAATAACTTCTGAAGCTGGGGCTTGTCACCACTGCCCCTCGGAAGAGAAAAATAGCAACCAATGAGATCTTGATCGGGGTTTCGGGCTCCTCAAATGATAATTCTTGAGCGTTCTTCTATACCTTAGGGGCAGGGGCGGAGCCAAGAGTTTTCTCAAGTGGGGGCACAAATCATTGAAGTAAAAAAAACCCTCAACCTTTTTCATCTGGGCTTGGGACAGGCATGGGCGGTTTTAAATTTTTTTTTTAATCATTTGATTCATTAGAAAAAAGATAAAACATTAGAAAAAAGATAAAACATATGATAAACAAAACAAATAATGTCTCCTGGCCTTTGAAAAGCAATTTCTTGATTTAAAAGATTTAAACTGATCAGTGAGTTATAATGGGAACCCCAACGAGTGTCTTTTTTCTTTTAAAAGTAGTCACCTTAGCTTGAAAAGTGCTTTACGAAAGAAGTTTACGCCTTCGAGACCAGGTTTCTTTTTTCTTTTCTATTTGTATGTTATGATATTCTTGAGGCCCGTCCCTACTAAAGCGGCTTAGGCGAAGCGCTCGGAAGGGAGAAAGGATCTTCACAGCGAACGTCGCAATGCCGCCTCCACACAAGCCCTCGGCCAGAAGGCTGGATTGAGGCCAAGGGTGCGGGTCAAACTCCGCGGAATCTGATCTAGGCGGCTGATTACTACTAGCTACAAAGATTATCTACTCCTGTTATTCATCCTTTCAACATTGAACCTAAAGATGAATAGAAAGGAACTTTGCATTACGTTTGCTGAAGTGTCCCCAACATGAACGATCCCAATAAAACGCTCAATAATACAACCGTGTCTATCAACATAACGTAATTCAACAGCAACTTGTTCTTTAATTGATACATCACGAGATTCATCAAGTAAAATAGCAAATACATTATTACTTAGTTCATTGATTATGACATTCATCAAGTAAAATATCAAATGTAAAAAATTGAATACTTTCTAGTTTCTAAATCAAAATGGGGTGAAAGAAATAAAAAAGCAACATAAATCTGCTTCCAACCATAAAAAGCCCAGAATTTTTCTACCGAAATAGCAAAACTGCTTCAATCACTCAATGGCAAAGAAAAAAACATCTAAAAAGGTTAGTAATCAGCAAATACAAAATACTATTTAATGCCTCATTAAATATATACTGGGAGCACCGGAGCAGGTGAGGCTTAAAGCGAGCAACGAACCCAACGACAGTTTCCGCCGGGCGCCGGGCATGAGGAGAGCGAGCTGAAGAGAGAGGAGTGACGGATTCTTACCAGTTACCGCCGAGCGGCCTGAGCAGGCGAGCATGCAAGCGCAGTAAGCCTACGCCGCCTGGTCTTCCGAGTTCCGCCGCCTGGTCTGGTCGCAACTCGCAAGAGAAATAAATTTTGAACTTTTTGAGTTTCGTTTTCGTGCCTTTTGTTTCCCGTCCAGCCGTCCTAGCGGTAATATAAGAGCCAAAACCCTAAATTCTGCTTTAAAGTATATATATATATATATATAACTAAATGGTTCAAACAAAGAAGTGCATCAAGAGCAATTTTAGAACTTCATGAGAATTAAAATTAAATATTAGAAAATTATAATAATGCCAACAATACTGCTGAATTAGATTCTTGGGTAGTAAAAATATTATAAATATTTAATTTAAGTATGACATTTACAATGAATGTTTAAAAAAATGAAGACTAATAAATTAAGAAATGATTTCATGAGAGAAGTAGTTGGATTAGCTTCTATTGAAGAAATATTAACTAAAACTCTTAGGTGATCTAAACCTATACGGCTATACCCATTGAATTAGTTGATAGATAAGTTTTGGAGGTTTTAGAAGAAAAAGTGATAGATAGAAATTTCATTAAAAAAAATAAGTATAAGCATTATATATGCAGAATATTGTAAGCACCTCGTAGAAGCTGATCAAAATATGTGTAGATAATATATGAGAAGATGATGGTTCATAAAATTAGACCCTTAGTTTCTCTTTCAGCCCCCACCCATTTAATAGTTAGCCATATACATATATTGTTTTTTTTTTATAATTTTCTAGCTTGTAGTAGTTGATCTAAACATAAAACTTCAAATTATAGTCTA